TATAAATATAAATCTATATATATATATATATATGTATGTGAATGTATATGCGGTGTATCTATATATATATATACATATATATGTATCTATATATATATATATATACACATATATGTATCTATATATTTATTTGTTCGTTTACTTATTCATTAATTATTTGTACATGCACACACCTACACAGATACACATACATTCATGTGGCAAGAAACGCATTGAAGTGGGCTCCTGGGTAAGCGTGTTTGTAGGTTTAGGAAGAGTTAGCCTGCATTGTTTGTGTTGCATAGGAGCCTGCGCAAGCCGTATTGTAGAGGGCTAAATAATTTGAAGAAGGTTTTGAGCCCATTATACTATAATCATAATAGGGAACCGCAAAAATAGTATTGGTGATTATTATGGCGCCTACATTACCCTTCTCCTGCTCTTTTCAGAGCGGGATATTGTTCAATTCGACTTTAGAGCTTCGAGTCTGTAGAGGTCTTTGTCTTCCCGTCGGAGTCCACATCATCCGATCGCCTTGGGCTTTCTGTAGGTTCTTTAGTCCAAGCAGGGTGTGTGCATGTTTTTGGTCGTCGCTGACATGTGGCACCGCCGAAACCGTGAACTCAGCTCGGAAAGAGTGGAGCTTACTTTCTCCAATGCACTAAATCACTAAATCGGTGTGGCTTGAAACGGACCAGCCCCGGCATTTCATACCAGAACCCGGTACTTCACTCCTTCTTTTCTTCTCATGCCTACACCCTAAACCCAAACCCCTAAAGCCTAAACCCTAACCCCTAAAGCCTAAACCGCTTAAACCGCCTAAACCCTAGCCTCTAAAGCCTAAACCCTGCAGCCTTAACCCTGAGAAGTGGCAGAGCTGAGGTTCCCAAACAAGCGAAGGCCTCGCTTCTATGAGCTGTGCAACCAGGTCGAGAAGTGCACCCGGCGCAGTTCTAAGGATTTAGGGTTCGAGTTTAGGGTTTAGGGTTTAGGGTTCAGGGTTTAGGGTTTAGGGTTTAGGGTTTAGGGTTTAGGGTTTAGGGTTCAGGTTTAGGGTTTAGAGTTTAGGGTTCTTGCAACGGCAACGACGACAACAGTCACAGCGATGACGCTGAAGGCGATAGCAGATAGCAGTGGTAATGTCAATAAGTTCATGTTGGCGGTATTAATGATTAATTACTCTTTGATGATGTTGCTGACGATCTATTGACGATGATTGTGATCCATTAACGGCCATCAGAATCATCGACATCATCATCGTCACCATCACCATCATCATAATCATCACCATCATCACTTTACCACAAGCAATCAAGGCACTCAGCGCCAGGACTACCCACGGCTCGTTTTTCCACATACTGCGACCGCCGCTGGTAGTATTACTAGCAAAAGCAGCAGCTGTGGCAGCATCAGCAGCAGCATCAGCAGCAGCAGGAGTAGAAGTAGTAGTAGTCGTCCAGCAGCAGCAACAGCTGCAGCAGTAGGAGTACGAGTAGTAGTGGTCGTCGTCGTAGCAGTAGTCGGTAGCAGTAGTCAGTAGCAGTAGCAGTAGCAGTAGCAGTAGCAGTAGCAGTAGCAGGAGCAGGAGCAGGAGCAGGAGCAGGAGCAGGAGCACGAGCAGGAGCAGGAGCAGGAGCAGGAGCAGGAGCAGTAGTAGTAGTAGTAGTAGTAGTAGTAGTAGTAGTGGAAGTGGAAGTGGAAGTGGAAGTGGAAGTGGAAGTGGAAGTGGAAGTGGAAGTGGAAGTGGAAGTGGAAGTGGTAGTGGTAGTGGTAGTGGTAGTGGTAGTGGTAGTGGTGGTCGTAGTAGTAGTCGTCGTCGTAGTAGTAGTAGTAGTAGTAATAATAATATAATACGAATAATAATAATAATAATAAATAATAATAGTACTAGTAAGTAAGAGTGCATGCATTGTAGCGGTGCTGCTGGTGGCGCTAGCGGTAGTAGTGGTGGTGGTGCTAGCGCCCGTGGTCGGGGCAGCGATAACGATAGTGAGTGATAGTAGTAGTACCACAAGAAAAAAGTAGCGCGTTAAGTGCCCATCTTGCAACCGCAAACACAAAAGTGGCGCTACCTTATGGAGAAGCGGTGAAGGGGGGACCAAAAGAGAGTGGCAGGGGGGGGCCGAGGGATGGACTGTTCCGGACCCGAAGGTCACCTCGCACACTATTTTCACCTCGCACACTGCTTTCACATGGTGGCCAGGGGGGGTTGGGTGGCTTAAGTAGAGTTTATTTGGAGCTGGAGCTGTGTGCTTCCGTATGCCAGGCTTATATTCTCAGTTATGTACCAAGCCGACCACAAGGAGTGATCATTTGTGCACAGACAGTGTGCTAGTGTGCGGAGCGACCGATCAAATTGTCTGCATGTATGCGGCAAACTGAGTAGCACGAACCTTGACCTTTCAAAAAGGGTCTGGTCCTCCTCAGCCTTCCACCAGAAACGAGCAGCTATCTACCTCGTCCTCTGAAACAAGATAAGAGCCCCGTCCAACTTCGGGAGAAAGAACAGAACTCCATCTCAAAAAGCAAACAAGCCCACCAAACCATCGAGAATGACGAAAACTCCGTTTACCCCTCAGTCGGCAAGAAAACACCCCCTGTTTTTCTAGGTAAGGGGAAGACATCCTGCCCATCCCCTTTACCCCTCCCCCCAGCCTTGAAAAAGAAATGTTAAGTCCCCCGTCCTCCACCTCATGCTCCAAACCAAGAAGAAAGTCTCCCCAAGTTGTTCCTGGCAAAAGAAAAAACTTATTTCCTGATTTACCTCTTGGTAAGCCACCAGTCGTGTTAAGAAGATTGAAGAGACCTCGCTCCTAGCAAGAGAAGAGAGAGAGCTCCCCTAGCTTCCAACAAGAAAAGTCCTCTACCTCGTCCTCGACAAGAAAAGATGACACAAACGAGAGTTCCATCTCAAAAAAGACAGACAAGCCCCTCCAACTTCACGAGAAAGAAGAGAGCTCCGTCTGCCCTTCAGTCGGCAAGAAGAGACCTCCTTTTCTCTAGGTAAGGGTAAGATCCTGCCTATCCCCTTTGCCTCTTGAAAAGATGGAATAAACCTTCAAACAAAGACGTCTGGTCCTCCCCCCAACCTTTAACAAGAAAGAAAACTCCTCGACCTCATGCTCTAAAACAAGAAGAGAGCTCCCCCAATCCTCTGGAACAAGAAGAGGGCTCACTCCAAGTTATTCTTGGTAAGAAAAGAGGAACTGTTTGATTTCGTTGCAAGAAAGCACAAGACATGAGGCAACCAAAGTTCCGAGAACAGCTCGCCGGCAAAATTGGGTGCAAAATGCTGTCAAGTCTTTGGTTACCGGTAAGAAATGACAGCAGAGAGGATTGGACCAAATTCTGCAGAGGGGGGTTGGTGAAAAACTAGATACGACAATAGAGAGGATTTGACCAAATTTTGCCGGGACGCTCGCGCGCGCACGAGCGTCCAATCCTCTCTGCCGTCATTTCCTTGGTTGTCGGTAAGAAATGACCGCAGAAAGGATTGGACCAAACTATGCCGGCGAGCTGTTCCCGGAACTTTGGTTGGCTCATGTTATTTGCTTTCTTGCTGCTACTAATGGGAAATGACAACAGAATTGGACGCTTGCGCGCGAGCACCCGAGCGGCCCGGCAAAATTTGGTCTAATCCTCCAGGATATAAACTATTTAAATCAGATTAATTATTTGAATTCGCACTGGGGAATTAAACAAGGTAAATACTTCAAATCCGGGACCCTGCCCAATATCCAAATTGCTAAACTCCGGTCGGGAATCTAAATCATGTAAATACATTAAATCCTGACGGAGGGGTTGGGTCGGGGAAAGGGGCCGGGAATTAAATAATTTAAAAAACTCAAGTCCGGGGCCTTGCCCAAAATTTGTATTGTTTAAATTCGGGCCGGGAATATAAATATTGTAAATCCGGGACCCTGCCCAATGTTTAAGTTAGTTAAATAATTCAGATTCGGGTCGGGAGTTTACTTAACTTAAATCATGTAATCCTGACGGAGGGGTTGGGTCGGGGAATGGGGCCGGGAATTCAAATCATATAATAATTATATAATTCAAACCCGGGCCTTACCCAATATTCACATTGTTTAAATTCGGGCCCGGGGGATGCCCGGACACCGCCCCCACGATTCACATAAATTCGAGCCGGGAATATAAACATTATAAACCCGGGACCCTGCCCAATATTTAAATTAGTTAAATTGTGTAAATTCGGGTCAGGAATTTACATGATTTAAATCCTGACGGATGAGTTGGGTCGGGGAATGGGGCAGGGAATTAAAGAAGTTAAATTATTCAAATCCGGGGCATTGCCCAATATCTAAATTACGGGCCAGACAAGGTCCTGCGCGAGGTTTGACCTAGTTCTCTACTTCCAAAGTGAGTGGCTAGCTTTCGTGCATAGTAGTCGTAGTAGTCGTCGTCGAAGTCGTGGTTGCAGCCGTCGTAGCAATAAAAGTAGCTAGCCCATAGAGCGAACCCATGATGAAGGAGAACACACGGTGAATGTCAACGAGTGGAATTCCTCATCATAGTCCTGAGGAGCATGATCACCACCATGGCCATGGGCAAAAACAGCTACACCAGCACTTTTGGGCACTTCGGCACCTGTTCAACATCATGATCATCGCCGTTGCCATCGTCACCGTCATCCTCTATACCACCGTTGGGTCAGCATGACCATGACTATCTTCGTCGTCAAAACCGTAGCCACTTTGAACGTAAGCGATCCCGACTGCGACCGCCCTGCGCCAAGGCCATCTCTGACTGTTGCCAGGGTCGTCACCACAATGCAGCATCTGCAAATAGCCGCTATAAATACCGAACTGCCAGCATCATCATCACCATCATCAGAACGATTTGGGTGTTCACAGGCGTTTCGCTGTGTAGATGCCTGCGCAAAGACAGGGGTTCACTGTGTCCCTGGATTGGACCACATGCAAACCGATGACGCTACAAGCACACCACACGTTGATGTGTGCCTGTGTGTGTCAACATGTGTCAACTACTGGGGAGCGGTCCTCCAACAAAGCTTCTGCCGACATGACCGCCTCAATCTTCGTCTTGCATGGGCGCCAACACAAACCGATGCTCGTAGCTCTCACGATTGCAGTGCCAAGTAAACAACCGCTGCCCGTGTCTGCTCCAAGCAATCAGCCTGGTCGGCAGGGATGTGAAAGCCACATAGAAGGTAACGTCAATTGACATTCAAACTTGCATGGGTGAGGCTGGGCTGTCCACTGCATCGTGTTTGGTCTCGATGCCTGAAGCTTGGAGCGTGCCCCACGGCCCCACGTTCGAGTCATTTCGAGCCTCCGTTGGCAATCCTTGGTCAGACTTCGCTACGAACCATAATCTTGCTAGGCAGGTTGTTTTCAATCACGTGCTGCGGACGAGCTGCACAGGAATGCCGACAGATCTCCGCACATCAGCAATGGCTTCCTGACCAGTTGTGCGATAAACAGCTCCATTGTTTGATGCAAGCATGTTCAACACAGCTGAGGGTCTAGGCCCAATTGGGCGCCAAACTTGCTTCCCGCAAACCGTCTCGCTCCTCGTTTAAGCTACCAAAACACGAGGCGATTTCTGTTGAAACTATGCTTGACATTCTGAGTTTCCGGCTGCATATTTTGGCCGTTGTGTTATCGTTCTGCCATGAACACCTTGCTGAAAAGCTGTCTACACGACGAGGTAAAGGTGGCGTGTTGCCACTAGTTGTACATGATCCGAAGCATTGGCAGCATTGTTCAGAGCGAGCTGTGGTATAGCCAAACAGTTTACACTGTCCGCATTGCCATCAGGTTTACCACCACTCGCGTGGTTGACATGTGTCTTAGGTTGTACTCTGCAATCTCCCACAGTCCGTGCCGAATGCGTGCATGTGTGCGTGTGTGTGTGTGTGCGCCTTATCCGTGTCCGCAAGGAAGTTCAAGCAACGAAGGCGGCAATATTAGTCCCTACCTCAAAAACGTGACTGCCATGGAAACTTGACACTGGTGACTACTATTACTAACATTGCTGTTTATTCTATTGCGGCACTCGTCAGTGCTGCTACTGCTACAGGCAGTATTACCATGCCCTTTTTCTATTGTGTCATGGTTTAGTGCTAATGATGCCAGGATCTCCATTAAGATAAGTTCGCTGTTACGGCTAGAAGTGCTCGTAGTTATGCGACTGTGCAACTGTGAAGAAGACTGGTGCCATTCTGGCAATTTTCTGTCAATACCACTGTAGTTTTCTTGCATGACCAATACGGCATTATTCGACAATTCAGCAATCATGGACAATACAGTGAGGGTCATACCCATGAGACGACTAACATGAGAAATGAGGGCAATGTTCGTAACACTGGTCGAGATAACAGCGATTGTATCAATCGCAATGGCAGCAACAATTTTGCGAAAGTACAAGCAGCAGGTGTCGCAGTAGGATAGTAGTGTCAGTAGCATTGCAATTCCAGTAGCCGTAGCAGTGCTAGCGCTAGCAGTAGCAGCAGCAGCAGCCGCAGCAATAGTAGTAGTAGTAGTAGTAGTAGTAGAATAGCAGTAGTAATAGTAGTACAACTACCAATACAACTAACCACTGCCACTACCACTACCACTACCATGACCACCACGACCACCACTACCAGCACTACCACCACTGCTTCCACTACCACTACCACTACCACTACCATTACCACTACCACCACTGCTACTACTACTACTACTACTACTACTACTACTATTGCTTGCTACGACGACGTCTCCTTCCTCCTGGCACGACTACCGTTGCTATTTGCCGGCACGAACGGCGCTTGAGCGCAAGCTTT